GGCAAGCATCCTCAGAGGTAGTGAGGTCTGTTGGAATTAGGACAATGGGTTTATATATCTGTGGAATGGCTGGGGTGGGGCAAAGAGCTCTTCTCTGCTGGAGCTAGGTGTGAATGTTTCAACTGACCACCTTCATTAGCATTTGAAGGCCTGGCTGAGCCTGGGAAAATCTTTTGTTGAGAGGTGTTAAGATGTGCCTGGTTGTTTCCTCTCTGTTGTTGTGCTGTTCTAATTTTAGAGTTTTTTAATACTGGTAGCCAGATTTTGTTCATTTTCATGGTTTCCTCCTTTCTGTTGAAATTGTCCACATGCTTGTGGATTTCAATGGCTTCTCTGTGTAGTCTGATGTGGTGGTTGTTGGTGTGGTCCACAGATATTCCACAGATATATAAACCCATTTTCCTAGTTCAACAGACCTCACTACCTCTGAGGATGCTTGCCATAAATGCAGGAGAGAATGCCTCTAGAACATGGCCATATAGGCCCGAAAAAACCAAAGTCCATAAAGTTTGGCAAAAGTTTATAAAAGTTCCCATAAAGTTCATGAAAGTTCATGGAAAGTCCATAAGAGTTGGGCCATGGGGCCATGGAAAAAGCCTTAGGTTCCCACATGGGGGAGAGATAGGGGATTATGGGATCATTCCAGCCTGGTGTCCTTCGCAAAACTATGAATTCCCTGATTTTAAGCATCCTCTAAAGCAGTGTTTATCAACCTTCCTAATGCCATGACCCCTTAATACAGTTCCTCATGTTGTGGTGACCCCCAACCATAAAATTATTTTTGTTGCTACTTCATAACTGTAATTTTGCTACTGTTATGAATCATAATGCAAATATCTGATAGGAGGACTATAAGTATTTTCATTCACTGGACCAAATTTGGCACAAATACCCAATACACCCAAATTTTAATACTGATGGAATTGGGGGAGGGTGGCATTTGGGAGTTGTAGTTGCTGGGATTTATAGTTCACTTATGATCAAAGAGCATTCTGAACTCCACCAATGATGGAAATGAACCAAACATGGCACACAGAACTCCCATGATCAACAGAAAATACTGGAAGGGTTTGGAGGACATTGACCTTAAGTTTTGGAGTTGTAGTTCACCTACACCCAGAGAGCAATGTGGACTCAAACCATGATGGATCTGGACCAAACTTGGCACGAATACTCAATATGCCCAAATGTAAACACTGGTGGAGTTTGGGGAAAATAGACCTTAACATTTGGGAGTTGTAGTTGCTGGGATTTATAGTTCACCTACAATCATTCTGAACCCCACCAACAATAGAATTGGGCCAAACTTCTCACACAGAACCCCCATGACCAACAGAAAACACTGTGTTTTATGATGGTCTTTGGTGACCCCCCTGACACCCTCTTGTGACCCCCCCAGGGGTCCTGACCCCCAGGTTGAGAAACGCTGTTTTACAGAGTCCTGGGGGGCGGGGCCACCTCCGATCTCGATCACACACTTAACGCAGTGAGAAAAGAATGTGAAAAAGTAACTTTCCCAAACTCGCCAGTCAACCTTCGCTTGCCCTTGGAGCTTTGGCAAATGCCTTGTGACTGACTGATTAATTTATGTAATGTGATGCATTTTTTTTTTTTACCGTTTGCTTTGGCAATAAATAAAAGGTGTGAGGTTACCCAGGTTAGCTTTCTGATCAATAAAGAATGAGAAGACAAAAGCCATCGCTAGATTAAAAAAAGAAAGACATTTAATCATATGCCGGAGCCTAGGTCGGTCCCTCTCGGTTTAATCAAGGAGTCGACTGCTTGGCTCAACAGAAAAGGAAACATACATCAAATGAAGTCATTCGTTACACAACAAGATGGGGAAAGCTTCAAGGAATTTGCTACTATGGAGAGAAGAATTCAACCTTAAGCCGTCGAAGCCGGCGGCTCATATATCAGTTTCATAACGAACCCACAGTGGGCGTCACTCCCAATTTTAAAAGAGCGATTGAAGGTGACAAAGGGGTCTAGATCCTTTAAAGTTTGGACTAAAACCCGGAACCGAGTCAGTATTTCCACTGATGGAGGCTGCATCTGCACTGTAGAATTAATATCCTTTGACAACACATTAACTGCCATGCTTCAATGCTATAGAACTCCAGGTGTTTTGGACTTCAACTCCCACAATTCAGGGATCTGTCCAGCAGAGTGAACAGATTGGCAAGGCCAAAGCTGAACAGCAGCTAATCTCACTGATTTTTAATTTCTTCAGAAAGAAATTAAAAACATAAATGTGGGACCAGGCATTTGGGCAATCTGGCAGATGAATAAAGGACTGTGACGATGGATAGGAATTGGACAAGGTGGAACGAAATATGGACTCTGAGTTGGCGAACGCTGTGTCTGAGATTGGCTATTGATTGTGAGATATATTGTTGTTTTAATTGTTTTAATTGTTGACCATTTAATTGCTGATTTTTATATGTTATTGTATTTGTGTAGGCACCAAGATGTGCTTTTTTGTAAGCTGCCCTGAGTCCCCCCTCGGGGGTTAAGAAGGGCGGGGTAGAAGTATACGAAATAATAAAATAATAATAAATAGTATTTGTAACTTCAAAGCATGCCTAGGAGAAGGCCACAAGAAAACTACATTTCTATCACCTAATTGTCTACATCAGGCATGGGCAAACTTGAACCCTCCAGGTGTTTTGGACTTCAACTCCCACAATTCAGGGATCTGTCCAGAAGAGTAAACGGATTGGCAAGGCGGAAGCTGAACAGCAGCTAATATCACTGATTTATATTATAGTATTTGTAACGTCAAAGCATGTCTAGGAGAAGGCTACAAGAAAACTACATTTCCATTACCTAATTGTCTACATCAGGCATGGGCAAACTTGGGCCCTCCAGGTGTTTTGGACTTCAACTCCCACAATTCAGGGATCTGTCCAGAAGAGTGAACAGATTGGCAAGGCGGAAGCTCATTGATTTATATTATAGTATTTGTAACTTCAAAGCATGCCTAGGAGAAGGCCACAAGAAAACTACATTTCTATCACCTAATTGTCTACATCAGGCATGGGCATACTTGGGCCCTCCAGGTGTTTTGGACTTCAACTCCCACAATTCAGAGATCTGTCCAGAAGAGTGAACGGATTGGCAAGGCAGAAGCTGAACAGCAGCTAATATCACTGATTTATATTATAGTATTTGTAACTTCAAAGCATGCCTAGGAGAAGGCCACAAGAAAACTACATTTGCATCACCTAATTGTCTACATCAGGCATGGGCAAACTTGGGCCCTCCAGGTGTTTTGGACTTCAACTCCCACAATTCCTAACACCCGGTAGGAATTGTGGGAGTTGAAGTCCAAAACACCTGGAGGGCCCAAGTTGACCAATGCCTAGAATCATGGGAGTTGTCACTTGGTGAGGCACCTCTCCTTCAGCGGAGAAGGCTAAACGACCCCATAGTACCGAGCCACTGCTGTTACAAGTGGTTTCAAACTGCATTAATTCTACAGTGTAGATGCACCCAGAGCCTATCAAGCAGTTTAAGCTTGCTGCCAACTCTGTCCCCTTCTACACTGCCACATAATCCAGATTATCAAATCAGACAACCCATATTATCCTATTTAAACTAGATTATCTGGGTCTACACTTCAAAGTGGATAATCTGGATTTTATATGGCAGTGTAGAAGGGGTCTTTGTCCTATAAGGATACATAAGGGAGGTTTCATCCACCTCTCCTTGCATGCATTGCCAGCCTCTCTAGTCTTCCAAGTGTGTTGGGGAAAGGGCAGTATAGTTAGCCCTCTGTATCCACAGATTGTATGTCCATAGATTCATCATCCATGGATTCTGTATGCACAGACTCCATATCCACAGATTCAGTATCCATGGAATCCTTATCCATGGAGTTTGCACCAAAGGAATTTCCACCCATGGATTCTAAATCCATAGATTCTGCATTCATGGATTCTGGATCCACAAATTCTGTGTCCATGGATTCTATATGCATGGATTGAGAAAGCCATGAAACTTGGAACTGGAACAAAACAGACACCAGTATAAATATGTGAGAGGAAGCCACAGAGAGGAGGGAGCAAGCTTGTTTTCTGCTTCTTTGGAGACTAGGACGCGGAACAATGGCTTAAACTACAAGAGAGGAGATTCCATCTGAACACGAGGAAGAACTTCCTGACTGTGAGAGCCGTTCAGCATTGGAACTCTCTGCCCGGAGTGTGGTGGAGGCTCCTTCTCTGGAAGCTTTTAAACAGAGGCTGGATGGCCATCTGTCAGGGGTGATTTGAATGCAGTATTCCTGCTTCTTGGCAGGATGGGGTTGGACTGGATGACCCATGAGGTCTCTTCCAACTCTTTGATTCTATTATTCTATGATTCTACCAGCTTGAAAGACAGTATATTCACTGGAATGACAAGGAAGGTGTGGGGAATGCAAACTACTTTCACTCAGCCCAGCATCAACATGTTTTTTTGCGAAGGATTAAGCATATTAATTTAAGCAAGAGACTGGGCATGTTCTCTAGGATACAGAACTATGTTCCCTCTACGGGAGCAGTCTCTACTTGCAGGACATGATTTGGAGGAACTCTTCGTAGAATCCTAGAGTTGGAAGAGACCTCATGGGCCATCCAGTCCAACCCCATTCTGTCAAGAAGCAGGAATATTGCATTCAAGGCTGGATGGCCATCTGTCAGAGGTAATTTGAATACAATTTTCCTGCTTCTTGGCAGAATGGGGTTGGACTGGATGGCCCATGAGGTCTCTTCCAACTCTAGGATTCTATGATTCTATAAGGATGCCTTCCTTTTAATTTCACAATCTTCTCCAAGCACAGGTTGAGAAATCCCCAAAAGCACATGTGCCTCTCTCTCACGCCGTGCCCAAACGGGAACGGCGGGTTCTATCACGAAGAGGGGTGCGGATCGTCGTTTATTCCTATCTTTACAATTCGGTTGGCTCCATCCGAAAGGCCCAACTTGGGTGTTCCCCTTCTCCGAAAGACTGACTAGCTCATGTTCGGGCATGGGTCCAAAGGAGACACCCTTACTTCTTTGGCAACTCTAAAAGAAGGAAAGAGGAATCATTACTTCATTTCGTATCTGAGAGAAGCAGCTGAGAGTTGGACGGCTACAACCGAGTGTTGGACGGCTACAACCGAAGACAATGGCTTCCCATTCGTTTTCAGAGGAGCAGGTCTCCGAGTTTAAGGAAGCCTTCCTGCTCTTCGACAAGGATGGGGATGGTGCCATCACCTCCCAAGAGCTGGGCACAGTCATGAGGTCCCTTGGGCAAAACCCAACGGAAGCCGAGCTGCAGGAAATGATCAGGAAGCTGGACACCGACGGGAATGGCATGGTGGACTTCCCCGAGTTCCTCAACCTCTTGGCCCGGCGGATGAAGAACGCCGACAGTGAGGACGAAGTCCGGAAGGCCTTCCAGGTATTTGATAAGGATGGCAATGGCTACGTCAGCGCAGCCGAGCTGAGGCACATCATGACCAAGCTGGGCGAGAAGCTGACGGACGAAGAAGTGGAGGAGATGATCAAGGAGGCCGATGTGGATGGAGACGGGCAAGTCAACTATGAAGAGTTCGTCCGGATCATGTCCTGCAAGTAGAGACTGCTCCCGTGGAGGGAACATAGTTCTGTATCCTTGAGAACATGCCCAATCTCTTGCTTCCATTAATGTTGGGCTAATTGAACGTTGGAGATGAGCCTTAATTCGTCACTGGGAAGAATGGGGACTTCAGGTATCTGGTGTGCTTTGTTCCTCTGCTACCCAAAGCTGAAGCGTTGCTTTGTCATGGGACTTTTCTATATCCTACACTATGATATGGAGGAACTTGCTATAGTAATCTATACTGGTGGTGGACAGAAGGTAGATTGGACTCTTGTTTGGGTGGAGAGCAGGACATTAACAAGGGTTCCTGTTATCCAGAAATAGCTTAATCATAGCAAGTCAAATAAATCCTGCTATGACTCGTCTTCCTTGGATGATTTATTTCAACCTCAACACTTTTTAAATCACAAATATGACAACACAACAAGCTTGTTCTTTAGAGTGCTGAGTTAGAAAATTGCATTGGATGGGTCACACTAGCTTTAGTTTCTTAGATAGGGTTATCATGGTCTATGCATGAGTAGATGGCAACTGGTGATGGCCTATGTTCTGTATCTCAAAAAGTAGAGCTGAGGGGGGAAACTGGTGACATTTTGGAATCAGAAGGTCAAATATACCCAGAAAAAGGGCTAACATCGGAGATAGGGGGAAACTGGTGACATTTTTTGGAATCAACAGGTCAAATATACCCAGAGAAAGGGCTAACAGCAGAGACATCTGAATGTGTGTCGGTCAACGCTATTAATTGTTGGGTCTTCAAGGTTTAGTCATGATTTGACCTACAAGCTGTAGCTCTGTGAGTCAACCCATGGTTCTTGGGATAGAAGGCAAGTTGGTGGTTTCCATGTCCGCTCTGGGTTTTAGTCAGAACTTTAAACAAGCTACCCAAAGTACTAGAGTAGTGTTTCTCAGCCATCCTAATGGCATGACACCTTAATACAGTTCCTCATGTTGTGGTGACCCCCAACCATGATATTATTTTCATTGCTACTTCATAACTATAATTTTGCTACTGTTATGAAGTTGTAGTTTCATTCACTGGATCACATTTGACACAAATACACAATATGTCCACATTTAAATACTGGTGGGGTTGGGGGGATTGGTTTTATATCATTTGGGAGTTGTAGTTGCTGGGATTTATAGTTCATCTACAATCAACTTCTTGGGTAGCATTTTGGAAGTTTGGACTAAAATCCGCAGTGGATTACCCACTTCATTGAAATGGGAGCTGCCACTGCGGATAAAATAACCTTTTCCAGCCTCTGCTTACCTTCTCCTCACGTCCTGAAGAGTGTGCTTGACTTCAGAGGACAGGTTACATAAAACAGGTTCGGATGGTCTCCCTGGTCTGCGTAATGTCAGAGTGATGGAAAGACCGAGCCTGACATTGGAAACAACGCCTGGCTCTTTCCTTCCTCCTCCAAACCCAACAGGCATCACCTTATAAAGAAAGCTTTCAGCCACAATCCAGAGTCATCCAGGTTCAGCCGTCAGGATTAATGGAAGTGGCCTCAAACTGAAAATTAGAGTGAGGGAAAAGTTACTTTTGTAGACCACACATACAGAGAGAAAACTGACACTGATGAAGGGATTCGGGATTGTTCTCTTTGGGCCCTTTAATATTAGACATTTATAGACCTATGTTCCATTTTAATTCCATCCATAACACGACGCAACACACATTTTGTTCCTGGGCGATCCATGTCATTTCCTAATTGGGTCTATGATAAAAACATGGGAAAAGTTTATTAAACTGCAAAAACTTTGCTTCTGCAAGAGGGACAACCTGTAGTACATTTTGCTCTGGTTTTGCAATGAATCTCTCATCATCGAGTCTCAAGAAATTCAACATACGAGGGTTGAATGAAAAGTAATGCCTCCACCTTCGTTACTTGGGTTTGGATGGGAATATTTTAATAAATCAAATGTAGAAATAATCCTTAGAATGTGCTCTTTAACTACCACTATTCACTAGGTCCGTGATGGTGAACCTATGACAAGCGTGTCAGCACTGACACGCATGGCTATTTTTGATGACACGCAGACACATGCGGCCACATACAAAGAAATACACCTTATAAGAGCCAATCTAATTCCATCCTTAAATTTGTAAAAGGCTCTACAAATTTAACGTCTGCATGTTTGAGCATTGTTCACTCCATAACTCAGCAGGGAATATACATTTTTCTTATTTAAACTATAAATATTGCAAAATTATGGGGTTTTTTTCTCAAAGTTATGCTCAGGTTTTTGGTAAATTTTGACACACCAAGCTCAAAAGGTTGCCCATCACTGTACTAGGTTGTTGTAAGTTTTTTCGGGCTATATGGCCATGTTCTACAGCAGGGGTCCTCAAACTACAACCCGCGGGCCAGATCCGGCCCCCTGAGGGCATTTATCCAGCCTGTGGGATGTGGAGAAGGGTGAGAGGCGGCGGGCAAAGCGGCTTCAGGGCCGCTTCACCCGCCGCCTCCCTGGGCCCAGCCTGCTCTTCTCCTGCCTTCGGGACGCAGCCTTGCCTCATCCTGAAGGCAGGAGAAGGGGGGGAAGGCAGCTGGCAAAGCAGTTTTGGGGCCGATTCACCCGCCGCATCTCTGGGCCCAGCCTGCTCTTCTCCTGCCTTCAGGATGCGGCCTTGCCTCATCCTGAAGGCAGGAGAAGGGGGGGAGGCAGCGGGCAAGCAGTTTTGGGGCCGCTTCACCTGCCACCTCCCTGGGCCCAGCCTGCTCTTCTCCTGCCTTCAGGACACGGCCTTGCCTTACCCCGAAGGCAGGAGAAGGGGGGAAGGCAGCGGGCCTTGCCTTATCCCGAAGGCAGGAGAAGGGGGGAAGGCAGCGGGCAAAGCAGTTTTGGGACTGCTTCACCTGCCACCTCCCTGGGCCCAGCCTGCTCTTCTCCTGACTTCGGGATGTGGCCTTGCCTCATCCCAAAGGCAGGAGAAGGGGGGAAGGCAGCGGGCAAAGCAGTTTTGGGACTGCTTCACCTGCCACCTCCCTGGGCCCAGCCTGCTCTTCTCCTGCCTTCGGGACGCAGCCTTGCCTCATCCTGAAGGCAGGAGAAGGGGGGGAAGGCAGCTGGCAAAGCAGTTTTGGGGCCGATTCACCCGCCGCATCTCTGGGCCCAGCCTGCTCTTCTCCTGCCTTCAGGATGCGGCCTTGCCTCATCCTGAAGGCAGGAGAAGGGGGGGAGGCAGCGGGCAAAGCAGTTTTGGGGCCGCTTCACCTGCCACCTCCCTGGGCCCAGCCTGCTCTTCTCCTGCCTTCAGGACGTGGCCTTGCCTCATCCCGAAGGCAGGAGAAGGGGGGGAAGGCAGCGGGCCTTGCCTTATCCTGAAGGCAGGAGAAGGGGGGAAGGCAGCGGTCAAAGCAGTTTTGGGACTGCTTCACCTGCCACCTCCCTGGGCCCAGCCTGCTCTTCTCCTGACTTCGGGATGTGGCCTTGCCTCATCCCAAAGGCAGGAGAAGGGGGGAAGGCAGCGGGCAAAGCAGTTTTGGGACTGCTTCACCTGCCACCTCCCTGGGCCCAGCCGGCTCTTCTCTTGCCTTAGGAAGGGGCCTGGCCTCATCCCGACGGAGAAGGGGGGGAAGGCAGCGGGCCTTGCCTTATCCTGAAGGCAGGAGAAGGGGGGAAGGCAGCGGTCAAAGCAGTTTTGGGACTGCTTCACCTGCCACCTCCCTGGGCCCAGCCTGCTCTTCTCCTGACTTCGGGATGTGGCCTTGCCTCATCCCAAAGGCAGGAGAAGGGGGGAAGGCAGTGGTCAAAGCAGTTTTGGGACTGCTTCACCTGCCACCTCCCTGGGCCCAGCCTGCTCTTCTCCTGCCTTCAGGACGTGGCCTTGCCTCATCCCGAAGGCAGGAGAAGGGGGGGAAGGCAGCGGGCCTTGCCTTATCCTGAAGGCAGGAGAAGGGGGGAAGGCAGCGGTCAAAGCAGTTTTGGGACTGCTTCACCTGCCACCTCCCTGGGCCCAGCCTGCTCTTCTCCTGACTTCGGGATGTGGCCTTGCCTCATCCCAAAGGCAGGAGAAGGGGGGAAGGCAGTGGTCAAAGCAGTTTTGGGACTGCTTCACCTGCCACCTCCCTGGGCCCAGCCTGGTCTTCTCCTGCCTTCGGGACACGGCCTCACCACATCCCGAAGGCAGGAGAAGGGGGGAGGAAGGCAGCGGGCAAAGCAGTTTTGGGGCCGCTTCACCCGCCGCATCCCTGGGCCCAGCTTGCTCTTCTCCTGCCTTCAGGATGAGGCTTCGCCGCATCCTGAAGGCCGGAAAAGGGGGGGGAGGTGGCGGGCAGAGCAGCTTTAGGGCTGCTTTGCCCGCCGCCTCCCCAAGTTTATATTTGTTAAAATTGTACTTCATTTTAATTATTGTATTGTTTTAAAGTGTTTTTTGCAGTTTTGGGACTGCTTCACCTGCCACCTCCCTGGGCCCAGCCTGCTCTTCTCCTGACTTCGGGATGTGGCCTTGCCTCATCCCTGAAGGCAGGAGAAGGGGGGGAAGGCAGCTGGCAAAGCAGTTTTGGGGCCGATTCACCCGCCGCATCTCTGGGCCCAGCCTGCTCTTCTCCTGCCTTCGGGACGCAGCCTTGCCTCATCCTGAAGGCAGGAGAAGGGGGGGAAGGCAGCTGGCAAAGCAGTTTTGGGGCCGATTCACCCGCCGCATCTCTGGGCCCAGCCTGCTCTTCTCCTGCCTTCAGGATGCGGCCTTGCCTCATCCTGAAGGCAGGAGAAGGGGGGGAGGCAGCGGGCAAAGCAGTTTTGGGGCCGCTTCACCCGCCACCTCCCTGGGCCCAGCCTGCTCTTCTCCTGCCTTCAGGACGTGGCCTTGCCTCATCCCGAAGGCAGGAGAAGGGGGGGAAGGCAGCGGAAAGCAGTTTTGGGCCGCTTCACCTGCCACCTCCCTGGGCCCAGCCTGCTCTTCTCCTGCCTTCAGGACGTGGCCTTGCCTCATCCCGAAGGCAGGAGAAGGGGGGAAGGCAGCGGTCAAAGCAGTTTTGGGACTGCTTCACCTGCCGCCTCCCTGGGCCCAGCCTGCTCTTCTCCTGCCTTCAGGATGCGGCCTTGCCTCATCCTGAAGGCAGGAGAAGGGGGGGAGGCAGCGGGCAAAGCAGTTTTGGGGCCGCTTCACCCGCCACCTCCCTGGGCCCAGCCTGCTCTTCTCCTGCCTTCAGGACGTGGCCTTGCCTCATCCCGAAAAGGGGGGGGGGGAGGTGGCGGGCAGAGCAGCTTTAGGGCTGCTTTGCCCGCCGCCTCCCCAAGTTTATATTTGTTAAAATTGTACTTCATTTTAATTATTGTATTGTTTTAAAGTGTTTTTTGCACTACAAATAAGATATGTGCAGTGTGCATAGGAATTCATTCATGTTTTTTA